GAAAACCCGATGCAGTGAAAAAGGGGGTGGTCAAGGCTTTTGGAAAAGAGCAAGAAAAAGAAGGAAGAGGAAGATGATGAGGAAGACGAAGAGGATGAAGATGAGGAAGAAGATGATGATGATGAATAAGTTGGTTCTAGCGCAGTTTTTTTTTCTTGTCTATAAAGCATTTAACCCCCCTGTACACAACTCACTCCTTTTAAAGAAAAAAAAACTGAAATGTAAGGCTGTGTAAGATTTGTTTTTAAACTGTACAGTGTCGTTTTTTGTATAGTTAACACACTACTGAATGTGTCCTAGTGGTATTTTCAATAGCCACTAACCTTGCCTGGTACCGTCTGGGGGTTGTAAATTGGCATGGAAATTTAAAGCAGGTTCTTGTTGGTGCACAGCACAAATTAGTTATATATGGGGATGGTAGTTTTTTTTTTGTTTTGTTTTGTTTTGGTTTTGGTTTTTTTTCATCTTCAGCTGTCTCTGATGCAGCTTATACGAAGATAATTGTTGTTCTGTTAACTGAATACCACTCTGTAATTGCAAAAAAAATTGCAGCTGTTTTGTTGACATTCTGAATGCTTCTAAGTAAATACAATTTTTTATTAGTAAAAAAAATAAAAAAGAAAATACCTCTGCACACAAGGAGCGTGTCTGTCAGCAGCCTCCACCAGTGTCCCTTGTGCTGCTTGTGCCCCGGGTTCAGCCCTCAGCCCTCCAGTGTCCCTTCATTTTCTCACCTTTCCGTTCTGCTTTGGACCACGAAAAGAGATTGTGTGTGGTATGTGTATGTGTGTGTGGTGTGGTGTGTGGTGTGGTGTGTGGTGTGGTGTGTGGTGTCTGTTTGTGTGGTGTGTTTGTGTGTGTGCTGTGTGTGTGTTTGTATGTGTGTGCTGTGTGTGTGTTTGTGTGTGGTTTGTATGTAGTGTCTGTGTGATGTATGTATGGTGTGTAGAGGTTAAACAGAAGAGGTGACCGCTGAATGAGAGAGCAAGCATCGCAGTTGGAGACACGCAGTAGACTGTTGCTGTAGAAATGTAAAATAAGGAAGACATTTGTAGATGAGCCTTGGCGTACTGCAAATGCAGGTGGCGAGGCAGGCCCTGTGGTACAGCTGCCTAGCCCTCTGTCCATCCGTGCATCTGCCAGTGAGGTGCATCTTCTAGTTTGTCATCCGCATTTTTTTTAAGATTTACTTATTTACTTTACTTTGTGTATGAATGTTTTGCGTGCACATATGTATGGGTACTACATGCATTTTTGGTACTGGAGAGGCCAGAAGAAGGTGTTGGATCCTCTGGAACTGGAGTTATGTTTCTGAGCCACAGCTTGGGTACAGGGAATGAACCAGGGCCCGCTGATGCTCTAAACCACTGAGCCGTTTCTCTAGCCCTGAGTCTTTACAGTGCATCTAGGAGGAGCAAATTAGACAAATGGTATAGACATGGCAAGGGGCAGTGCCTCGTCCTGCTGAGAAATCGAAGCTGGTTCTTGCCTTGGTTTTTCATGCTTGTGTTTCTCAGACATCAGATAATTCGTGTGTGTATTTTGAGGTGGAAGTTTTTGGAGCGTCTTTACATGTCAATCACAGTCTTACATCAGGAATAAGAAATTAGGAACTTCATTGTAATCTTGCTTTGTACATTTTAAGACTATTTGGTACTTTAACTTGTTCAGTGTGGATAAATATATTTAATATACAATAAGAAACACATAACAGTTCCCTCTTTAAAAGGAATCACAGGGAGTTTATTCTGAGGTAAGCGTAAGTAGCCAAGGCTAGCAATGGCGATCCTGGGTGTGTCAATTAGCCAAGGCTAGCAATGGCGATCCTGGGTGTGTCAATTAGCCAAGGCTAGCAATGGCGATCCTGGGTGTGTCAGTTAGCCAAGGCTAGCAATGGCGATCCTGGGTGCGCTCAATGACCTGTGCTGCTATGGGCAAGGTTACGTGTACTTTTCTAGTCACGGAACAAAAGTATGGCATAGTGGTATACCCCCGTGATCCCAGGAGAGGAAGGAGAATCGGGGGTACAAGCAGTGTCAGTTACACAGTGAGTTTGAAGCCAGTGTAGACTACATGAGACCCTGTCTTAAAACAAGAGAAAACTAATATAAGTGATGAGCCAACGCATCTACCAGACATGTGGGTAGGAACACGTGGGAAATCTCTGCCACCATTTTCAAATGCTAGCTCACAGCATGCTTAGCTCTGGACTTGATACACTGTAGTCTGCTCAGAACATATTCTGGAGGTTTATCATGTTGTGGAGTGCCAATCCACAAGGAAAAGTCCACGGACTCAATTTAAATTATAATTAAATGAATTTATGAATTACTGCTGGCCATACAGAAGAAGCTGGAAGAAGGGGTTTAAACAGTGGACAACACAGTCATCTCATTCTGTGGCATACACAGCTTCATTCCCCCAGCTAGTGGGGAGCCCCCCCCATTTACAGAGAGACAACTGGGTTTGTATAAGTGGGAGCAAACGGCCGTTTTTACAACCCTGGGGAGGGAGAAGGGGAGGGAGCAAGGAGCCAGAGTTGCCAGGAACTTATCTTTTAGGGGGTTAGAATGGGTGCCTAGCTCAAAACGGAGTTTGAGCTATCACAGTCAAATAGTCAAAGCTGGACCAGATACAGCGGCCGGTGATAAGTGGCTATCAAGAAGACTGGCTGCAGCCCACGCTCATTTTGTCTCTGAACCTGCAATATTCTGTCTTTTTATAATCGAGACATTTTGGTTGGCCAATCAGCCTGCAGAATCTTTACTACCAGTGTGACTTCTTCGGAGAACTTAAATTCATATGTCTATTGCCAATTACATAGACTATGAAACTGTATATACAGCCTAATTTTCACAGCATAACATATAAAGCAAACACACAGTCCCACCACCTGCTCCGGGAAACACAGGTTCCCACTCTCTCTGAGAGCCTCAGACAGCTAAGGGAAGATTTACTTTGTTATCTCTGAAGAGATAAAGTCAATCATGGCGTTGAGTGCTGGTGTTCGGCCTCCTCCCTCCTTTCTCCATCTTTGTTCGGTCCAGGCCCTGAGCTCATGGGATCACATTATCCACATTCAGCATGGGTCTTCCGTCCGAGGCTAAGCCTCCATGAACGCACCCTCATATAAATATGCAGAGCTGTTATTTCCTAGGTGATCCTAATGCCAGTCAAGTTGGCAGTGAGAAGCAGCCACCCTAAACCTCCTAATCACCGGGCCTCAAGACCACATGTGTGTCCGACAGACTGAAGCCACATGTGTTAAAGTCAAAATGCAGGTCTGAGGGCCAGATCTTGAAATGGTCCTCATCATGTCTGCGCATCTGCTGAGGGACAGGCCCCTTTAGGGCTTAGCTCACAAGTCCAGTTGCTGTCTGCTGAAAACTTGCTAGTGAGCATCTGTGCGTGGGGCTGGCAACATCAGGCCTCCAAGGCTGTTGAGTTTAGTCAGCATTAAAGCTACTGAGTAGCCCTGGGAATGCTTTTTTTTTTTAAAGATAGCTCTATCTATCTATTTATCTATTTATTTTTATGTGTACAGTGTTCTACCTCATACCAGAAGAGGGCACCAGATCTCACCATAGATGGTTGTAAGGCACTATAGATGGTTGTGGGAATTGAACTCAGGACCTCTGGAAGAGCAGCCAATGCTCTTAACCTCTGAGCTATCTCTCCAGCCCAAGGGGAATATTTTCTAATCATTATTACAAGTTAATAAAATGACTTGAATGTTTGTATTAAAGCAAAGAGATGGGTAGGTAGGTAGGTGGATGGATGGATGGATGGATGGATGGATGGATGGATGGACGGACGGATGGATAGATACGTAAATAGACAAATAGATGCCATAGTGGACACAGTGAAGGGACTCTATTTGGATTACCATTTTGAAATACAGTCCTAGATCACAACACCCTTCTACTAAATCTAAAAATGATTTATTCTTGCTCTACGTTCTTGCTCTTGCTGGTACTTGATGTTAGCAGATGGTATCATAGTGTCTGAACCAGGCAGGAGCAGAAGGAAGCACCCGTCTGGAGCTGCTCCTTTGGGGCCCCTTCTCTAGCTGAGGGGGTCTTAGTCAGTTTTCAACCGCATTAGGTTGTCAACATACAACTGTTGGGGGTGGGGAAGGCAGCCAGCCCGTGGTCTAGTACTTGATAGCATGAATGGTGGTGCCAAGTGCACCATGGCTTTTACTACGCCATAGATCCTGGAGGAATTTACATCATCAGCCAACAGCACGAGTCCGACGCCCATCTTAGAACTTAGGGAAACGAACCTCCAGCTCTCGGTGCCCCGTGTTTTATTTCCACCTGAGAGGACTCTCAGAGGGGATGAGCAGTTCTTGTCCAAGTCTTCCATCTGCCTGAGCTGAGCCCAGGCAGCTCTTTCCAGAGCCCAGGGTCCTCATCTCTGCTGTCAGCAACGCCGGAAGTCTGCCTCTCTGTCCTCACCATGTTCTCTCTGCTGTGCCTTCTGGGATAGCAGCAGAGCCCCCCACTTTCCAGGGGCAGGAAGTAAGGGGAAGAGATGCAGAAGGGAGTTAAAAGTGAAGACTGTAGATTCACGAGAATCTCCCACTTCCCAGTGTCCGCTCACTGTCTGTGCCTTGAATGCTCTGAAAGGGCAGCTAGTGTGTTCACACACAACAAAGGGTCTAACGAGAGGTGTGTGAAGCGTTAATCACGTGCTTACATATTAACCACATTCCAGGTATCATGTATTACAGTCACATAAAATTCTCAGACTGCAGTACTCCATTACAACTGCGCAATCTTTTCTTAGCCCATAAGCATATGCCATGTGCCAAGAACACAGTGCCCACACTTGCCCAGTGGTTGTACGGCCCTTGTCAAACAAGTTCATATCTAAGCTTCTTGCCTGAAGGCACTTCCATCTCTGAGAAATATCTGCACCAGCCCTTCAAGGAATGTAGACTTAAATCCCAGCGATAAAGACCCACATTTAAATTCCTTTCGTCTCTCCCAATCCAGGCCTACCGAGTGGACAAAAGGGCTGCTGAGCAAGCTCGCTGGGAGGAGGCCTCCAAAGAAACCATCAAGAAAACCACTAAGCCTTGTCCTCGCTGCAATGTGCCAGTGGAAAAAAATGGTGAGTGTGAGCCAAGAGGAGAGCCAGGCCTGCCTGCACCCTCTGTGCAAGATGGCCTGTGGGGGCAGGGCAGTCGGGCTTGGGGGAGGGTCCACAGCTTGAGGCTGGCTGGGTAGAGTGGGAGTGGGTCAGGTCTTCTTCAGCATGGAATTGCTTAACCTCCTAAACCCGAACCCCACTACAACTACCCCAGCGTCTTTCTGGAGATTTGGGCTGCTCTCATAGCTGATATACTTTAGGAGGCAGGAGACAAAGGCAGTGTCCTAGGTGTTTTCTAGGGGATGAAATTCCATCCTTGGACCGGGAGCTGTGGTGGTAAATGAAACTTTCTGGTGAGGTGGTGGCCAGCAGTGGGTGACACTGAGTGCACCAGGACTCATTCCAATGTCAGTGGAGAGAGAAGACACACAAGGTACGCCAGTGCCCCTTCTTAATGACATCAGACGCTTGGCATCTTCTCACAACAACAGAGTCCCCCATAGGCCCCCAGAGCCCAGACTGAGGGACCAGGAGCACCGCCACATCAACTGCATTGCTCAGGTGATGGCAGCTACACCTCCCCTTGTGGATAATAATAACAGAAGGCGCACCCAGTAACTGCTTGTCCAAGTCCTCTGGCAGGATAGAGCATCTGCTCCGGCCAGCATTTCCAGTGCACATCAACACGTTAAAGCACGTCAGATCTTATTTGGTACAGAACAGGGGTAGATTTCTTCAATCGGCTTTTTCTCAGACTCTTCTGGCTGTGAACACCCTCTCCCTGCCCTGCATACATGCCCCATCACTCCTGGTAATATCCCTGAAGGCTGGGGCTCCCTTCAGTTCTCGGGTCCCTTCTGCAAGGGAGGCAGTGCCTTAAATGGCACTCGTGCCCAGCTCCCCCATTCAGATGCCAACATTACTGGACTTTGGAAAGGGACTTTTTCTTCTGCCTCCCAGCAAATCTTCTGTGACTTTCAAGAATCCTAAACGACGATTTGAACATATCTCTGAAGGAAATGAAATGAGAACAGGGCAAGTTCTTCTAGAATGTTCCACCTCGCAGTCAGCAGACAAAACCATGCACGTTCATGCTCGAATGGTTCCTCTTCGCTGACCTTCTCTAGTCCAGGTGTTGTCTCACCTGAAGGACTGTCCCTTCCTGACTCGTGCAGTCATATCCCTAGCCTCATTAAATCTGGAACCTCATCGCTGTGGAGAACCCCAGAGCCCTTAGACTGAACGGTGCACCCTTCCCACTCCTACATTCATGAGTCAGAGGGCTTGGCTCTCCAAGAGAGTGGGGTTCAGCTCAACTCTGCCATGATCTGTCTCTGCTGGCCATGTCCTCAAAGTACAGATTGGATTGCCCTTGAGCATGAAGAGGAACTGCCAAGTATGCTTTTCAAACTACAGACTCCTGGGCTTCCATCCAGACCTGAGGACCTATGTTTTAAAGTTCATAACAAGGTCTTGCAAGAAGCTCTAGGGCTACATTGGCAAACAAGCATCCTTCAGGGCACATTGGCAAGCATCCTTCAGGGCATATAGCTCTGTGCAATATTTCTCCTGCCCTAGTCCACAGCAAGAATACGTCATGCAGAGGACGTTGAGAAGGGGAACCAGACACCTGCATAGTTTAGGATATTGTCTTGCCTGCAGTAGGGACACAAGAGCCAAAGCAAGTTTCACACCCCGAGAGCCACTACTGATGCAAAACATAGCTGTTCCCCCAAAGAGAAAAAGAATTTATTCTGAGCCAAACTTGAGTGGCCATGATGTAGAAACACAGATTCAAGTTGCTCGGAATGACACGTCCCGCTGTGGAAGAGGCTACATAAACTTTAGAGTCACTGAAAAGCAACGACGACAAATCAGAAATCCACACATTTACCAGATAGATTGGTGGGGACGTCATATGGGTTAGATACAGCCAAGCAGCCAGCCTTAGCTTGAGGCTCGTGAGAAGCTCGGTGAGCTAAGTTCACCTGTATGTTCTGTTCTGAAGGTTTTGTCTAACAGACACGAAGCTGTTAGACCAGGTACAGAAACCAGTGACAAGGGACTATTAAGGGGCTGAAGATAGACCAGGGCCACTTGGCGCTCAGTCTGTAGCATTCTGTCACTCCACGTTCACAAAGTAAAGTCAACAATTCTGCAGAATCAGCGGCACAGAGGCGGCCCTTTCAGGGAACACTTGTCCGTAGCACTAAGGGCATCGTTCTGGTGCCTCTGGAGGCTCCATCACACTCATCGGAGAAGCAGTTTCTCACCTCCTGCGGCACACTCTGGACTTCCCCTGTGCCTCCGCCCCTTTTCCCCTTATCATTGTCATTGTGTCACTGACTTCGGGGAGATTCCTGGGAATTGGGTCCCTTCCATTCTGCCCCCCATATCTGGTTGGCTCTAGAGGGCTCCCTGTGTGCACTGCACTGTGTCTGGAGGGCTGGAGTAGAAGCTGAGCTCTGGTCTGCTTGAGTTCCAGTCCTCATTTAGCCATTGTCACCTGAGTTTCTAGCACTGGATGCTGGTTACCCTGTCACCCTCTGGGACACAGGGGCCATCTGTTGGCCTTGTGCAAAGCTAGGATGAAGGCTGCATGGCGCGATGTCTGTGAGGGGCACGCTAGCGGGACTTCTCAGCAAGTGCTGCCCAGCATCAGTCTTGTTCTGATCAGACAGGGATCTTTGGTGAGTGGGTCTCACAGCATCTATGTGGCCGAGAAGATAATATATGTAGGAAGTAGGGTGGGGCTGTTGGGTATAACTTGGGATGAGAGGCTAGCAGTGGACACTGTGGCCTTCCCTTCCGCCCTGGTGACCAGCTCTTCTCCGAGGGCTGTAGGATCACGTTGCCCGTTTTTCTGGGTATTAGCGGCACCCAGGCCACCAGGTGCTGAGAGCCGGCTGGCTGCAGAATGAAAGCTAGCAGACATGTACCAAACACTTGAACCTTTAAAAAAAAACATCTTTCTCAACACCAACAAGAGTAGGCCTACTCTTCCAGGGTACCAGAGGCAGGCTTAGCTCAACCCAAGCCCCTGACTCTGAGTCCCCGATGCCTGGGAAAGGAATTCAGTTGGTGACCCCCACTGTTTATTTGCATGTTGGGAGGGCCCTGGAAGGACAATGGTTAACATGTACCTGCCAAGTGCATGAGGGTCAGTAGGGTTAAGAGACCCCACTCCAGTTCTGCCCGCCATTCCCAGACTGTGATCACATGACAGGAGAAAAAGAAAAAAGATGCAAATGGCCTTGCCAGAAGAGAGTATTAAGTGCCTACTAACGCCAGCACCTGTTGTACAGACTTGAAAAGCGCAAGCTAAAGAGGACAAAACCATTTCTCTGAGTATGCAATATCCCAGAGAAATGCAGATTTGACCCAGGCAAGGAAGTAGCGAGGACCACATGTGCAAAACAGTGGGGGTACAAACAGCACACCTGGCCTGAGCTGGAAGTGCCTTGCTTGCACAGTAGGGCCACTGTGAGAGCCAAGGGGCTTAAGCTTGATTCCCAGAAACAGGGCGGCATTCAAACGAATTACCTGATGAGATCTGCTGAGATCCAGGTCACACCACAGGCATGGAGGTGGAGCTGAGAAGCCAAGTAAGTGACTCACCAGTATAGATGGTTTCCAGCAGGGTCATTTCTTAGAAATAGGCTACAAGTGGGAGGCACTCACTCATGGCCTGTGGAGTGTTAGCCTCTGACCCCCCCCACACACACACACACAACGCACTCACTAACAATAAGTAAGTAAATACTTTTGTTAATGGAGACAGGGTTTCTCTGTGTAGCCCTGGCTGTCCTGGAACTCACTCTGTAGACCAGGCTGACCTCAAACTCTGCCTTCCGATTGCTGGGACTAAAGAATGCACTACCTGACTTAATGAGTGTGTGTGTGTGTGTGTGTGTGTGTGTGTGTGTGTGTGTGTGTGTGTTTCAAGGAAGAGTTCTTTGTGTAGCTTTGGAGCCTATCCTGGAACTTGCTTTGTAGACCTCAAACTCACAGAGATCCGCTTGCCTCTGCCTCCCAAGTGCTGGGATTAAAGATGTGCGCCTCCATAGCCTGGCTATACTTTGTTTTGTTTTGTTTCTCAAGATCAATGTGTGTATTTTTAAGAATAATATTAGTCACTGTCCTGGAATTCACTGATTTGGCTGGCCTAGGCGAAACTGGCTGGCCCCAACGATCCACCTATCACTGCCTGGGGTTACAAATCCAGGTCACCATACCTAACCCTCCTCTTAACTTGAGCTCTGGGGATTGAAGTTGAGCCTTCATGCTGCCAAGTTAGGCACTTCACCGCCTGAGCCATTTCCCCAGCTCCACGGTTACCCTCCTCAACACAGGGTAAACCTCGGTACCTCCTCCTATGGTCCCCTCCATCTTCCCCGATCATTTCAGACAGGCAAGGTCATGGCTTGCTTCTCAGATCTGTAAGGGCCTGTGGCGTGGTTGGATCTGCCAGCAGGTGGTTCGGAAGCTCCAGCTCACTGGCTCTATCCAGGGGTGGCGCTCCTGCCCACAGGCCTGCCCTGTCTTGGTTGTCAGTCTAGAGACTGAGTTCCCCGTGAGAAGAGCCACGGTCCCTTCAGGTCAATATCAGACGGCTGAGGAGCAATCATCAACTCCCCATTTCCGTTTACAGCCACGTGTCCCCTAATAATGGGACACAATTTAAGAAGTGTGTCACCAGACGTCACTCAGGGCAGACACAAGCCTAGATGCCAGTGGCCGCTCAGGAGGTTCAGGGGGCATGGGATAACTGAGGCAGCTGCAGTGAGGCGTGCTGAGAACTCCTCAGGGAACCTTCTCTGAAAGTAGGAGAACATAAGTAAAACACATGATGAGATGATTATTTCTAATAATAAAAGTGTCTTGATTCAAACCACTCATATAGCAGCTCATCCCAATTATCAAATGGTTTAGCATAGTTGTATACAGTCTACCATCATCAAATGGCACACATTGAGCCCAGCTGTATACAGTCTCCTCTTCCCCTTCATTTTTTAGTTAGCATACAAAAGAATAGGCTACATTCCGATGTTTTTAAGATTTTTTTTTATGCATATGGATGCTTTGCCTGCAGGTATGTCTGTGTATCACGGGCATGCTTGATGCCCATGGAGGGTATTGGAGCCTCTAGAACTAGAGTTACAAATGGTTATGAACTGCCACATGTGTGGTGGGGACTGAACCCAGGTCACTAGAAGAATAGCTGGTACCGCTACCCACTCGCAGGCCACTGACATCTTTGCACATATATGGACCTTGTTTGTGTTTGCTCCCATACCTCTCTCCCCCACTCCTCCCTTGCCCACTGGTCCCTTCTCCGATAATCCCCTTTCTGCCTTCATGTCATATACAGATTTATTACATATATGCATATATAAATAGACACACAAGAGAAAACCTATTATTTAGTCTCTTCCATTCCCCCCACCCCCCACCCATCACCCTATTTCCCCTGTTTTCTCCTTAGGAGCGTTCCTCCCTCCACAGAGTCCCCTTCTGCCATTTCTTCCTTCCTGTCACCAGCAGCACAGTAGGCTAGCGTCCCCATATGGGGGTGTAGTACAAACACGGACGTCAGTAGGCGACAGGAGTTTCCAGCTTGCTGTCACATGGGCCCGCCACTGTACATTGTTGACCATACTGTCGCGGACCCAAGTGCACGTCCACATTGCAGGGTCTAGCGGGAGCCAACCATGTTAACTGCCAGGAAGGGAAGAGCCTCCTGCTATAACCCTCTCTCCCCACTTCCCTCCTTCCTCCCCACAGTGGCGCCACTTCCTACAGACGAGCTATAGAGTTTCAAATGTGTAAGGATTGAAAGAAAAACAAGAAAAGAATTCTTGCATAGCATAACTTTAAGTTCATCAATTTTAGCTTTTTTCCTCAATATCCTATATGACATTTTAGAGAGACCTAAATGACATTTCAGAACACACTCTGCTATTGTATTATCCTAAGACATGGCTGTTAACATGTGCTAAAAATGGCCCTATCTTTGATGACAAGTATTTTTTAAAGCTTTTTAAGTTTTCTACTTTATTTTTCATACATCTGTGATCTTTTATAATACTTCAAACAAATCATAACCAAGTGGAAAATTTTAAATGTGTTATCCCTAGACAAATGCCTAAAGGCATAAAAATATTTTTGAGTAGAGTTAGCTGTCGTGCACAATTTCTGTTAACAAAAGTTAGTCAGTATGAGGCAATCCTTGGATATTTTGGTAGGTTAACAAGGTAACTGGTAACAGAGCCCACCTAGAGTTGAGTAACATACGAGCAAAGAAATTGCTTTGCCTGGATCTCCGACAGTTCCCTTTAGTGCCCCTGCATCTCCTGGAAGACTCAGTGCCTGAGCCCAGAAGGAACCAACTGAAGGGTGGGGGTGGTGACCCCAAAGTAGAGCCCTTCATAAGGGGCTCCCTGCAGACATGGCAGCCCCTGTTCTAGGAACACTGGGGGGCTCAGCTCTACCCCTGACAGAGCTGCTTCACCTTGAGAAAGTTCTCCAGCAAAGCCATGCTCCAGCCTCAGCGTTGTCAAGATGTAACATAGGCTATGCAGGACCCTTGACAAGGTTTCATGGAAGCCAGGATGACCCAGAACACACTGGTCCTGCTCCCTCTGCTTCCTGAGTTTGGGGATCACATGTGTATCCTGGTGTTTGCAGAGCTGGGGATTGAGCCCAGGGCTCCATGCAGGATAGGCAAGCACTCTACCAGCCAGGCTCCAATCCCAGCATGGCAACGTCATACTTTGCTTCTTACCTTAAATAGAAATCTAAATACCATTCTAAATAAAAGCAATATACTATCGCAGTTCCTGCTTATACATTTTGCTGAACCAATTAACACCACATAAATATGAAAACTACGAACCCCAGTGTATCATATATTAAATTATTAAATATTTAATACGTATTTAAAAGTCAAGCATTTAATATGACTGCATCCATTAAATGAAGAATCAACAGTCTGTGGAACATGAGTCCTTTGTGTCTAAGCACACGAGAGAAGGAGGAGAACTCAAATGTGTGAAGGGGATTTGTTCTAAAGACAGAGAGCCCCACTTCCGGGTCATCATCTCATCCATCTCTCTGGGGGCTGCCCCCTGTGGTGCCTGATTGAACCCCTGGTTCAGAGTCTTTCTGCCCTTGTTGCTCGGAACTGTTCACTACAAGGGTAATTTCTGGGATGGCACGTGGGCATGTGTGCAAGGGCTCTCCTGGCGTTTGCTGCAAACCCACAGCATCTGTATTCTTTGTCCCCACAGGAGGCTGCATGCACATGAAGTGTCCGCAGCCACAGTGCAGGCTGGAATGGTGCTGGAACTGCAGCTGTGAGTGGAACCGAGCCTGCATGGGTGATCACTGGTTCGACGTGTAGAAGGATGTCACCCCGGCACTGGCCCTGGCCACAGCTTCTAACGGGAAAGATGTCGACCCCTACCCTCTTAGCCATTTTGTCTCCTCTATGCATACAAGCACATGCATACACACGCACAAACACAGGCTGCAAATTACAGATGCGACTACTAGAGCCTTTCCACGGAAACCAGCAGTGCCCGCCGGGCACCCAGCAAGAGGCTCTTTCAGGCTTCTGGCTTATGCAAATATCAGAGCTGGGAAGAGAGCACAGCCCCTTGTTTTGGATTCTCAGCCCAGCCCGAATCCAGCTGGATCATCACAGGGGCAGAGGTTTTCCAGGTTTACCTTTCTGCCTCCACTTTCACTAACTTCATGTAGACGCACGGGTGAAGCCAACAGCTTTCCGAGGCTGTCGCCACGCTCTGATTATGTTAGACTGCTGTGGATTCTCAGGAGCACACTCGAGATTTAAGGAGCAGTGCCCAGAGGGCCCTCCCCAGCAATAGTCAAAACAACTAGTTTATCCCCAAGAATCCTGTCTTTATAAGTGGTGCTGATGAGACAGGTCCGCGGCATACAAATCAGCTCATCAAGCAAGCGAGGAACTGGGAAAGCTAATTTGAGTGCCGGCTGCTTAAATCACAGGGAGGGCATCGAAGCCGAGCACACTGCCGTCGTCCGTTCAGTTGCCTGCAACCTTAGAAAGAAAGGATTTTTTTTCCTCCTGAGACTATTACAAAGTCTGCAATTGGTTTGACGTATTCCTGTTGCCACCTGGAAGCCCAGCCCATTCGTTTGGCTTCAGTGTAAACTCAATAGAGAAAGTGCCTATAAAGGGATATTCTTAGAAACAATCCCATGATGCTATTCCAACGCCAACAGCAGTGCAGGTCGGGTTTATATTTATGGAACATCTACAGAAGGGGAGAGACCTCTATGCACCTACTCCCTCCCCAGCTGCTAAGCCCCAGGCAGGGCCTTTCGCGCAGGACAATAAACACACACTAGAATATTCTTCAGGTTAATATGCATCACATTTGAATGTTAATTTTTCAAAATTTTATTTTTTCCTATTTTTTGTTTTTGAGGCACACACACAGCACATAAAAACAATAGCACTAGGTACTGTGAGCCAAATTTTTTACCGCACCATGTGCGCAGGGATGAGGTATAGTCTCTGCCTTTCCTTCTCATTTGATATTCTGGCTTCTCAGGGGGCTGAGCTGCTAGCTGAGGATCTCCTTGGCACATGAGGTCCCTTGGGACTTAAGAGACCTGGATCTTCTGAAACCAATATGAAGGTGTAACCGACAGAAACCCTTGCTGGAGAGAGAAGAGGCAGTGACCTCGGAATTTTCCAGGTCTTATACCAAGAACATCTGCTCCCCCACTCCAGGCAGCCTTACCCAGCCTCATCCACAACTCTCCCCCAGGAGCTTTCCTCCCCTTCCTCTGAGATGCTGGAACAAGACTGTGGTGTGAGGGGGTCATAACAACGTGAATGACCCCATTTAATATCAGCAATTAGAAAATCCTTCCACTCCTACACGCCCTAGGCCTGCCAGACCCCAGTCCAGAAGCCAAGGTTGCATGGAAACAATGGTGTTGGTATCTTGGAAAGTGAGGAAGATCAGCAGACCCAAGTCCACGCTTGCATCCCGGCGGCCTAGTCTCCACCCCAGCCAGGTCCTGAAGGAGTGCCGCGTGCTCACCCAGAGTGGCAAGGCCACCTGCCCTGAGCACTCAGGGTTTTTCTGCCACCCGTCACTGTTTCGTTTGCAGTATCACTCTTCCCGCCGCATCCTCCCACACCTGTGTGCTGTAATGGTTTGGGAAGCCAGGACAATGTCTCCTGTCCTGCTTGCTACAGAGACTCCCTGGAGCTCGCTGGCTCTCCAGCATGTTCCTTTTTTTCTTTCTAGTGATGGCCTATGTTTTCTTCAGAATAGAATAGTAGCTCTGAAAATAGCTTAAAGGGAAAGTATCCACAGTGTGTGAGCACGAGTCACCGCCTGTGTGTGTGAGCACGAGTCACCGCCTGTGTGTGTGAGCACGAGTCACCGCCTGTGTGAGTGAGCACGAGTCGTGGGATAGAAGTGGATGTCAGAAGAATGGAAACCTAACCTCTGCAGAGCAATCTGCCTTTTTCTGCGAAACGCATTCAGAAAGATCTGAAGGCTGTGTCCATGGTGGTACCCAGACTGTCAATAAAAGAATCCAAAGAGTGTTTGAGCTTGTCCTTGGAGATATCTCTTTAATAAATGTCGGAGATGTGGGAGAGAAGGTGGGCCACATTTCTGTTTCTTTGTGGTCTCGCATACTGCCTGGAAGCATCGCCCACTGGGGATCGTGGCCCCTTTGCTCTCCATGATTAACTTCAAGGGTTCTGTTTTTTTAATTATCTGAATTCCAGAACAAAACCTCATTCTGGAATGTGATAACTACTTTCTTGCCAGACTCACAGACTTGAACAAATAAGTGTTTACAAGAGAAACTGGGGCCTGGAGAGCCTGGAGAGCCAGGAGAGATGGCTCAGAAATTTAGAGCACTTGGTGCTTTTGCAGAGGACCGGAGTTCAGCTCCCAGCACCCAGCATGTGGGCCCACAACTGTCTGTAACTCCACCTCCAAGGAGTCCGATGACCTCTTATGATCTCTGCTGGATCCTTTAGGCATGTGCTGCACATAAACACATTCACGCAGGTACACACATGTGCATACACACACACACGCACAAATAAATAATGTATATTTTGAAGAGAAACAAGAAGAATCGTGGGACCAGGGAGGTGTCTGGGTCTAGTAAAGTGGTAACTACAAGAGCATGAGGACCCAAGTCCAATCCTCCAGAAACCACACAAAAAAAGCCAGGGGCAGCGACACACACCTGTAATGCTGGCACTGAGAGGCCAAGGCAGGAGGATCCCTGTGATGTGGGATTCCTCTTCCTATGGTGTGGACATGTTTTATTACCAGTGGTTAATAAAGAAGCTGCTTTGGCCTATGACAGGGCAGAAAACTAGGCAGAAAAACTAAACTGAATGCAGGGAGAAAGAAGGCGGAGTCAGGCAGACGTCTTGTAGCGGCTGAAGAAAGATGCCAGCCAGAACCTTAGCAGTAAACCAGAGCCTTTTCCACCATGACGGATGCAAACTCAAGCTGCGAGCCAGGACAGTCATCCCCTTCCTCCTTCTTTAAGTTGCTTTTGGCGGGTATTTTTCCCAACAATAAGAATTAACCAACACTAAGCTAGGTCCCCTCTCATCTGGGCAGACAGGGTAGACGGCAGGGACTGTTGACGTTCAGCCGGCCTCCTCCTTTATGTCTCGTCTGGAACCCCAGTTTATGGGATGGCGTTGCCCACATTCAGGTTGGGTCCTTTCCTTTAGTTTTGCAGGTCTGGAAACACCCTCACAGACACGCCCTATGGCACGCCTCCTACATGATTCCAGATCCAATCAAGTTGACAGTGACGATGGTGTCAGAGCGGAAACGTGGGCATGGCATCTTCTCAGGAACACTACTGTGGCTGTGCCTGGCTTGTCTTGGTGTGTCCTTCAGGAGCAACCTGAAGAGACCGTCTCTGGATAATCCTGGGTATCTTCCAGGCCAGCAGCATGCTAGAGACCCCACTGGAGCCAGAAGCCTGAGAGATGCTCTGAGAAAACGCACAGGTGAGATCCATTGCCCACCCAGGGCATCCACAGAGCAGAGGCTGCAGAGAAAGGCACACGCTTGTGTGAGCTCTGAGTATCGGAGCAGAGGCCCTGGCTCCACCACCCTCGTGGATGTGAGCTCTGGGGACAAAAGCAGAGTGTCCCTTGTTGGGTTATCGTCATGACTCACTGAGAGTTCCCATCAAGCAGCCACAGCTGATTAATTAATAATTATTAATACGTGAACAAGTCAGCGGGAGCCACAGGGAAAAAACAAAACCAAACCACAGTAATTACCAGGTGTGTGCACATGCTACCGTCAAAACTTCCTGACGTCATGTGAGTGGCAGGAGGTGGTGTGTGTTGTTTGAATGTGCATTCTTCATACTTCCAGAGATTTCTTTCTAAGGGTAAGTTGCTAGTTGCTCTTTCTAGCTCTGTGTGTGTGTATGTGTGTGTGTGTGTGTGTGTGTGTGTGTGTGTACAGGTGGTATCCAGAGAGTGGGCTAAGGAATTCAGATCAGGAATGGAAATAATTGAGTATAAGTAGTAAACACACATGAAAAATATGGGGGAACCAACTACCCCTTTGCCCAACCCCCTATGTCATTTCAGACAACATGGAGATATGCATAGTTTGTGTTTTGAAGGCAATCTTATCTCAGCATGTATTAATTAGTAGGTGTTCTCTAGAAGAATAGACGCACACACACATATATGTGTAAAGGGGAGTTTTTAGAATGGCTTCTAGGCTATGATCTAGCCAGTCCAACAATGGTTGTCTACAGACAGAAGAATCCAGTAGTTGTTCCATCTGCACATCTGGATGGCTCACCTGGTTTTCAGTGTACCCTGGAACCCTGAAGAAGTGGCGCTAATGGAGGAATAGACTTGCTATTGAGGGCGATAGCAAGCAGAGGAAGAGAGAGCAAGTCTACTCCTTCATGTCCTTTACATAAACTGCCAGCAGAAGGTGTGGCTCGGAGTTAAGGTGGGTCTTCCCTCCTCAGAGATCTGGATTAGAAATGGGTCTTCCCACTTCACATGATTTAATTAAGAAAAAAAATCTCTCACAGGTGCGCCCAGCCTGTGAGTTTTAGTTAATTCCAGATGTAGTCGAGCTGACAACCAAGAAGAGCCACCATACACTGTAATGCTGAACCTTCTTTGGCATCAACTGTCCAGCCGCAGCATTGGAGAGCTGCTGCTGGGCTTGACTAACCATGCAGAGTTGGTGAGGAGTGCTGTCTGGATGGTCGGCTGGACCATACGCATCAATGGCACTGTCCTGAGGGATGGGTGGTGTTCCCGGTTTGTTCTTGAGGAAACCAGTCGTCACTGTATAAAGGGGTGACTGGAACCCAGAAGACCGACTGCCATAATCCCAGTTCATAAGAGAGCTACTGAAGTACCCGTTATCAACCGCTTTCCTCCTGGTCTCCGTTCATGCTCTTCCGACTGCCCGAAAGCCTTCTTTACAAGAGCTCCAGCCCCCCCTTGACTGGCCAACCTTGAATTCTCCCTCCAAAGGTCCCTAACACAAGTGTTAGCTAACACTCTGGGCCTGCATTGACTTCCGATCCATAGCAGCAACTGATCAAGCTGTGTTACCTCTGAAGGACAGGTGAGTAGAACAGAGCTATGTGCACATACTCAGTCAGATTCCAGCCGCTGTCACTATGGGCTTCCATGTTTGAATTCTGAACAACTCTATCAAAAACCCCACTGTGGCACAAAGCAGCATGTGGAGCCTGCCTGATGCTGTTGACTGTGGGCATCTGGCCAGAAGTATCCCGCTACAAGGTAAAGCCAGGCAGGCTGGAGAGCTTGTTTCAGATTTGTGTGAGTTTATTCTACAGGGTCCCTGAGACATTTGGTCAATGGTGTCTCCCTCCACCCCACCCAGGTCAAAGGTGCCAGGTCACCTCCTCTTTACAAAGCCTGCACGCACCGTTCGTCTATTCTCCCCCTGCAGCTGGTGTGTCCCCCCACAACGGCTGGCGCTGAATTTGAAACTCAAGGATGACTCAGATGGCATTTTTGGAGAGATGCTTTTTTAGCATCAGATGACTCAGTGTGTTTCCATGCCAAGTTTTTACTCACATTGTTTTTTATTATAAAAATAATCATTGCGTTATTTGTGCTCATTATAGAAACAAAAAGTAAAATATAATGGTTTTCACCGTATTCTTACATAGTGTCCAGCCAGTGAGCTGGCCCACTAGGTAAAGGAGCTAGCCACCAAACCTGACGACCTGAATTCAATCCCAAGAACCCACATGGTGGAAGGAGACAACTGCCTTCAAAAGTTACCCTCTGACCTCACACATGCTCCATGGGACACATGCACCCCACACACACAAAGTTAACTTTAAAAACATAAGCACAGCGTCAATTAATTTATTCAGTGAGAATATCCCCAGGCTTCATCTTGGCCTATATTGAAGGTGCCAATTAATTTGTGTTTCTTTTAAATTTCTAGATCTAATGTAACCGTCTAAACATAAGACAATCATTTGAAAGATGGGAATAGAGAAACTGTCGTGTAACAAGGAAAATTGGTTTACAACAGGCCTGGAGGTGTAGCCCAGATTAGAGCACTTGTCCTGCACACACAGGACAGGACCCGAGGGCCCTTTCCAGGACCACACACCCACAGAAGCAAACAAAGAGCCAACACGTTCACTATGTCACTTAACAGGAGGGCTTTTACAAAGGCTTGAGTACACTTGCCATCATGGAAAAGCCATAGGCAGGAGATGGAAAGACTCACAGGGTCTGGTTGGCTGTGCCCTCCTGCCCTCCTAACCCTCCTGACACCCAAGGTGACCATGTGGGCGGTGTGGATGAGGGAGATGATTAGGATTACATCATGGGGTAGAACCCTGATGACTGAAGCTGTCTGAACCAAGCTCTGAGAGAGGCCGGCACTCTCTCCACTGTGTGGAACGGAAGGGGGCTTGTACCAGACATGGACTCTGTGGCACCTTCGTCTTAGACATCCAGCTCCAAACTGTGAGGAATAACCTCCTGCGGTCCAGAAGCAGCCCTCTTGATGGTATTTGTTACGGTAGTCCGAGTGATGTAAGACAAGGTGTACACTAAAATACAGTTTACTCTTAACATACAGAGAAGGAGCCAACATCAAACCTGGGAGCTGTTAACAGTTACATGCGATTCACTCAGTTCTGCTTTTGTTTGTTTGTTTGTTTCTGAGATGGGGTTTCTCTGTGTAACAGTCCTGGCTGTCCTGGAACTCACTCTAAACCAGTCTGGCCTCAAACTCAGAGATCCACCTGCCTCTGCCTCCCGAGGGCTGAGATTAAAGGAGTGCGCCACCATGCTGGCTTCACTTTGTTGTTGTTAGAAAATGTGGCTTTGTAATGAAAAAAGGCTGGTTCTTCTTTGTTTGGGTCTTTTCTAGTCATTTCCTGTTTTGATGCAATATCCTCTAACACTTTAAGGTTCCTATTTTGTAGGTCAGCTCCCCAGCCCCCATGGTGTACACTGGTGGCCCCGCTGTTTGGCCTGCAGTGGGACCACCAGCCTTCCTGATTGACCCAGGATGACTGGTGTGCACCAGCCTTCCTGATTGGCCCAGGCTTGTTAACCACCCTGAGAACATCCAGGTCCCAGCTAGGTGTCCTTGGGCTGTACGCCTCATCCCCTGGCCGCATAACTGATCAAGAGGCCATGGC